TGCCCTAGCGAGCCGGGGTCTCAGCCCCCATCCCTGTGATTGATCCATTCGCGTTCCTGGCCCAGCGTCACTGTCTTCCCTGCCACGGCTTTTCCATACATTTCATTCCTCGCAGAACAAATCCCATGCCACGCATTTCCTTTCAACGTTTCTGTCTGACCCTTCGCTCCTGCATGCAAACTCAAGTTCCATGAGCTCAGATTAACAGTTTACACTGAAAGCAGTGCTCCCATACCTTCCCTTCCATGACGTCAAGGTCTCCCCACTACCGCCTTCATTTTCTGATTGCACGTGGCATGCCGCTGACCACGACAAATACGAGTTAGTTCCAGGCCTAGAGCCGCCAGGATGGTACCCTTCTACCAGCTTCACAGACCCGAGCCTCACCCTGGTAACTTCTGTTTCCTCCCTTTGAATGGCCAGGTATTCACTCTTTCAGTGGGTATTAACCAAGGCCAGTGGTTCCTTGGTTCTGGTTGTAGCTATATTTCCTTCTTCTAGGACAGAGCGTTGGGGTCTGAAGGCTTGGCTGACGATCACTGGATGCTCTCGCAAAGGATTGGGGTTCAGTTCCCAGCATCCCACCTAACTCCAGTTCCAGGTGATCTGATAACCCTCTTCTTGACAGAGAGCATGCGGGTGAAGGCCTGGCTGACTCCAGCTAAACAGCCCAACAGAGAACAAAGCGCAGAAGCCAGACAGACCGTCAATTTAACCAGTGGCTACCAAGACCAAACACAACAGCCAAGTCCATTTCCAATGGCCAAACAGCCTCTCTGTGAAGGCAAACTGCGGATTAGCCATGAAACTGAGGTATAGTCAGCTTTTGCTGGGTGACCTCAGAGAGCAGAGAGGCTGTTTGAGCTAAATGCGTCCTGATACCAGGTGTCCTTAGATGCTAACAGAGCTTTGTGGACAGCTGGAGGGGACCTATCCCGGGCCAGGAAACCTTCCCTTTCAGGGTTCAAACCATGAGTCCACACCCTGATCGCCTTCCTGCTGCTTGCAAGACAGCCCCTTCTCCTCCCATATCCATTGCAAGGCAGGTTGTAGTGTGACCGAGAAGAGGAGGAGTCAAGAGTTAAGTGGCTGAGTTTGGCATCTAACCACACAGGTCTGTGAGGTGAAGAGCCCTGAAAAGGAGACACCGGCTCCTGCTCCTTGAACGTCCACTGTGCCTGCCTAGTCTGTCATAATGTGCCCGGGGTTGGGGTGAGGGGGTTATTCCACAGGACATGAAGATCCCCGTTTACCTTCTCTGTCAAGTTGCCTCCAGGTCCACGCAGCATCCCTTTCTGGTACTAGAGTTGCTCTCTGCCTCCAGGGCCCCGCTTCCTGCATTCTAGTTCCGCTTTCTTCTGAGACTCCGTCCCCTGCCTGCCCCATGAAGCGCCCATCAGAGTCCAAGGCTGATGCCTCCATTTCCTTCCCTGCTGCCATGATAAAAAAAAAAAAAACGAAACACCCTAACAAAACACCCTAACTAAACAAAACACACTAACAAAAGAGGCTAAAGGGAGATAGGGTTTAGTCCAACTCACAGCTCAGGGGTACAGAGCCACCAAATGGCGGGAGCTTGAAGCAGCTGGCCACATGGCTTCCACAGCCAGAAAGCAGAGACAGAGAGATGAATGTGTGCTGTTTCCCTTCCTCCATTCACAGAGCCCAGCATTCCACGGGGAATGGTGCCACCCACAGTAGGTGAATCTTCTCATTTCTGTTGTCTTAACTAAGATAACCCCCTACAGTCATGCCCAGAGGCCCATCTCCCAAGTTACTCTTGATCCTGTCAAATTGACAACACTGACCATCACAGTGGTTGATGACCCTTTATTTCTGGTCCATCCCCAGAGGCAGATCCACCCAACCTATGGTCTCGAACCAGAGTCCTTTACTTTCACTGGTTAAGTATCCCTTCCTGCCAAGCCTAGTGTCTCTATGCTATCAAAGCCTCCATCCCTGCCCACGAGGAAAAGATGTCCCGCCTTGCAGGGCCTGAGAGCACAGGGGAAAATGTGTGACGTCTACTTAACACTTATTTCTTGAGTCCTCGTGGGGCAGATACGTCCCTGTGAACTGAGTGCTAGAAAAAAAATCAAGACACCAACCCTACCATGCACTGAACAGACAACCTTGAGTCTGTTGGGGTAACTTCACCCTGATCCCATTTCCCTATCTGTAATTAGGGGGTTATATGGCCTCTGGATCCCCTTTCAGCACTGATAGCCTATGGTTCTCTAGACAAGAACATTTTTAAGTACTGTCGGAGCACAGGATAAAATCATTAACAAACTTAGCAGAAACATAGGGAAAATCTTAATCCAATGAGATACAAACTATCTTAAGGTTGCTATGATACTGTGCAGAGGTTCTAAGTAGCTCCATGGAAGTCATCCCTCTGTAGTTGTGAGGCTCTGTTTCCATCACTGCCTTGATTAGAAGCCATTAGGGAGACATATCACAAGTTACATTTCTCCTCGGGAATAGTCTCTGTGCAGATACCCTGAGAGCTGTCTGAGAAACTCCATAGCCAATGGCTAATCTCCAGACTCCAGCACTTTCCACAGGAATCCCTCACTAGAAGGAAGATGGCGGCCGCATTCACCCTAGACCTCCACTCTGCTGCCGCCCTGCCTACCTTTGCCAACAAAGCCACTTCCTTGTCCTCAGAGCCACCTCAAGGTCCCACTTCTTCTCCCTTTTCAACTTTCATTTCTCAGACCTGGTCTTGAGCCGCGTCCTTTATGGCAGAAACAGTTCCCACTTCCTGTGGGCCCAGCATCTTCTGAGTACTTCCCCTACATACAGGGCTAGCTGCAGGTTTGACCCTTGCATCTCGGGGAGCTTTCTGAACACTGCTGTCTACGCTGACTGAAAATCTAGCAAAGTCAGTGGGTTCTCTATAAAACATGCAGTGTACTGGGGACATAGGACCTGTCTTGTGCCCCTCTCTCCCCCCCACCTGGTGCAGTATGAGATGGACTGTACAGACCCTTGGTTCCTACCTCAAGAGAACAGACTCTCAAGTCGGGGAGAGCCCTAAACTAGCACCTGACACTATTTTTCCCATTTTTCTGGGATAAAGGGACACGGGTCACTGTTTGGAACCCAGCTAATTGTCGTCAGCTCTTGACCTCTGTCAGCCTCAATTTCATAGTCAAATGAGAGCCTTCTCTTTTACAAGGTGGGTCATAGATTCTGTGGCCAGACAGGCAAAGTACTTCAGAGACAGAGAGACAGGACTACTTCCTGGGTGAGGAAGGAAACACCAAAGCAGAGCCCACCCAGTTGCCAGGAGCTCAGGGGGCCCTGGGGCGGTAGATGGAATGGGGGTTACAGCAGCCAGAAAGCAGCCGCAGTGATGCCAGTGGGGTTTCTGCTCTGTGGGGATGGTAGGAGGCATCCTGATCTTTATTCCGGGAATATGGGCCTCTCGCTCTCCTCTTGGCAGACATAAAGAATGAGGCCAGGCTCTCAGACCTCAGTAGAGAGGTTACTTTGTGCAGTAGACAGAGGTTAGTGCAGAAACTCAAAAGTAGTCAAACTACAGGGAGTTCCATTTATGGAGTCTCTCTCTGTCTCTGTCTCTCTCTCTCTCTCTCTCTCTCTCTCTCTCTCTCTCTCTCTCTCTCACACACACACACACACACACACATACAACACTATGGCTCGGGACCTTTGTGGAAGAGGGAGCAGAAATATTCTAAGAGCCAGAGGTCAGAGAGGACCATCTGGCTTCTGGTCATGACGAACTGCTGCAGTCAAGAGCTCACAGCGGCCATGGGTGCCTGCAGGAGACCCGCACAAGACCAAGGCAGCTGCCATTCCAGCATGGGTCACAGGTGTAAGACATTCTGCAGCGCTCAGGAGCCCCCGCCTGTAGCTAAAGAACTATTGGCAGTTGGCGAAAGGGTGTGGCTCCCCGGTAAACCAAACTGAGTCCAGTAGAATACATCCATGAGTACATGGGTAGGAAAAATTCGACACTGTTGTGGGGGGCAGTCATGAAGTTGGGACATGTATAAAATTCTCAAAGACTTCATAAAAGTAATACATTTTCTTTCTTTCCTTCCTTCCCCTTTTCTTTTTCTGCAAGGACTAAGGCTGGGGTGTAAATGCTTCCCATCCCTACTCTGGGAGAGCCAGGGCTGTCTGGCACACTGCCATCCCACAGCCCTCTCCTGACGTGTCCTTTGTGACTCTGGAAGAGAGAGCATGTTTTCTCAGGACTCCTTTGCCAAAGCCCACGGGTATTGCAGAGAGGCCCCGGCTCTGCCTCCTTCTGTCATGTAACAATTCTCAGAAGTACGACTGCCTCTCAACCTGTCAGTGGGCCTTCCCTTCAGGACAAAGGAATCTAAGTTCAGTTGGCAGTGACCATGGCGGCCAGCATCTTATTCCCAGGGCTGTGGATGCTGCTCCCAAATGCGCTGAAATGGCAGCGCCTGCCTCCCCATATTCGAAATCTCCAGCATCCTGAGAAGCAACCCGAGTGCCAGCCTTCTCCATTGTAAGACAGTCTAGAGCCAGGGCCCAGCAGTCCAGGCCAGCTCTTCCCCAAACCCCAGGCTCAGTTGGCTACAGGGCCTCATGGTCCAGGCCAGCTTTTCCCCATCCCCAGGCTCAGTTGGCTAATCACATGGACTTGGCCCTTGGCAGTGCCCAGGTGGCCAACACCTGAGCTTCCTGACCAGGTGTTTCTAGGTGAAACGGGCCTGGCTGGTCCCTTTAAGGAAGTGGAAATGCAGCAAAAGACAAAAGCCACAGAGAACTGGAACAAGGAGTGGACCAGGTCAGCCCCAAGGAACCATGGGAGCTGCTGCAGAAACAAAACCAAATGCCCACCCAGGGGGAAAAGCGAGGGGGGAGGCCCTTGGCACACCTCTGAGCAAGCGCTGTGACAGAGAGGGAAAGATGGCTGATGCTCTGATCTTTGCAAACGCTCTGACCTTAAACTTCTGGTCTCCCTTCTGGAAAAGGAGATTGACAATGCCAGGCTCCTAAAGGTCCCCTAACTCAGGAGACAGTACAGGTGAAGCTTTTCATGATCATACTGGTTCCTTCTCTCAGGGTTGTACCAAACTGCCTGACAGAAGCAGGTTAAAGAAGACCAGGTTTCTTCCGGCTCACGGCTTGAGGCAGAGAAAGCCCCGCAGGAAGGGCATGACCACACGGCATCTGCCGTTGCGAAGAGAAATGCATGCTGGTGTCCAGCTCAGCCTTCTTCAGCCCCAGGACCCCAGCCTATGGGATGGTACCAGCCACATTTGGGGTGTACAGCCTCTCAAATTGATAACCAATATTGATCATCACAGCCATTAACAATGGAGAGCTAGCATGAGCCTCATCATGGCACAGTCCCCTGACCGGAGTGAGCGACTAGAAATTCCGAGGGCAGGATTCTCAGGGCAAGTTGGTAGTTGGGCTCCACAGACTCATATGGCAAGAGGCACCTTCCCCTTCCTGGACACACACAAAAATCACCCTTGGGTTCTGTGGGCCCCGGAAGAATTGCGAGAGAACCCAGAAACCTGAATTCGGTACATTTCCTAAGAGAAGACACAGTGCTTAGCTTCCCTTTTGTTCCCAGAATCCAGTGCCCAAGTAGCCACCAACAAAGACTAGGGACAGCCAGGTTCCGGGCTATGTACACCAGGTGCCAAGACATTGGTAAAAGGCAGATGACTTGTTCCAGGATTTCTCACCTCCCAACCCTCCCAGCAGGTTTCCTCAGATGATTGATAATCTCCATGGCAACCTGGAAGTCCTGATCACCTGAACTCCCCACCACCACCTACCCAGCCAGCTCCTAGGATAGTCCCCACTGCACTGCACTCCATCGGTCGCCAGAGCTCCCTGAGCAAAGGTGATTTTGCAATGGCTTGCAGAGCTGCTAGCAAGAACTTTGTTCCTGAAACCAGGTGCCGAGATGACAAACGCTTACTTCCCCTTAACGGTCGGTCGGGGTTTTATCAAGCAGGGAATCAGGTCTGATGAACTCTAGAATGATCAACCAGATTGAAGCAAGGACATTAACAGGCCAGAATAGCAGGGCATGGGCTGTGGGTAGTTTCCAGAACACTGTGAACCAAAAGGGCCGCTGCTTTCAGCCTTTCTGCAATAGCTCGACCTGAGAACACAGCCGCATCTCATGGAGGCTTAAAAAGAAAAAATAAAAGAACTACAGGCATCACCTGCTAGTTGTTGGGCCACATGAAAAGGTTTTTCCATATGCGCGGTGGTCACTCGAAGTGCATTTAGGCAGGGAAACCAACGGAAGAAGCCATCAACTCGCCCTGGATATGGGGAGTCGGGGTGGGGGAGCACCAGGTTTCCCAACCCTGCCGAACAAAGAACAAAGGCAGAAATTGAAACTTAAGGACAAAGACACAAGCCCTTTTCATTTAGCTTCAAGGGCAAGTTCTTCGGGTTGGCCAGCAATGTCTGCCAACCCCTCACCTAGGCTTCTCCCCAGGGGAAGGGGAGACGTCTCCAGCCTCTCTGAAGAACCCATCAAGCGCCTTTTGAAGTCGAACTGGCTTTTCACAGGTTGAGAAATCTGGCTTCGTCTTCAGGAGGAAGGAGAATGGCAGGCAGGACCCAAGGCTGGAAATGTGATACCAGGACCGACAAACTAAATAAATAGCTTCCCCCAAAGACCCGGTCTGTTCTGCATTTATCCGTGAGGATTTATTAAATAAAATCTCCCTCCTTGGGACTATGGGAACGTCAAGGCATTAACACGTGTGACTCTGGTCTGCATTTTTGGGGAGCAGTTGCAGGGAAAGAGGAACACCAGCAGATAGATGATTATAACTTGGACTAGCTCCCCGGCAGAGGTGGAACAAGGGGAAGGGAGCCCATGGCTACGCTGGGAAGTCAAGACCACGGTCAGGGGATTTCACGATATGGAAAAGGGGAGAAACAGGATTAGGGAAGGAGATGACAGAAATGCAGCAGTGGGAATTCTAGCCACTCGTGTTGCTGGGCCTCACCAGAGTGCCTGCCACTGAAGTCAGAGTGACGGCTCCATGAATAGAGCGCTTACCTGTAACATGTAACATGTAACATGTATGAGGACCTGATTCAGAGACCCCAGGGTCCACTCAATGTGAGCATGGTGGCCTATGCCTATCCCCACATCCTTCTAAGGTGAGAAAAGGGGAGGAAGCTCCCCAGAAGCTCTCGGGCACTCACAGACATCACACACACACATACACACCACATGCATATCACACATACCATGCCACACACATACATACACATTACGCACAAGCACATATCACATACATGTATATATCTCAGACCATACGCACACATCATATATGCATATCACACATACCACACCACACACATTATACACATGCACATATCACATACACCTATATATCTCACACCATACACACACACATACATACATCTCACACCACACATACACACTATACCACACATGTACAACACACACACACACACACACACACACACCAACTCACAGATTAGAATGTCTGTTGTCCAATAATATGGAACCAAAGGTGATGGCCAGGAGAAGGAACACTCATTCATTGTGAGAATTTTTTTGTTTTGTTTTTTGTTTTTGTTTTGTTTTTTGAGACAGGGTTTCTCTGTGGCTTTAGAGCCTGTCCTGCAACAAGCTCTTGTAGACCAGGCTGGCCTCGAACTCACAGAGATCTGCCTGCCTCTGCCTCCCGAGTGCTGGGATTAAAGGCGTGTGCCACCACTGCCCGGCTTTCACTGCGAGAATATTCAAGAAAAATAGCTAAGGCCGTTACTTTTGCAGGGCATTTCATTTTAACTCTCTCTGCTTTTGACCTGAACCAACATGTCTTTATCTAGGGCCGTTTCTGTTGCAGACTAAAATCGATGGCTACTTTGTAAAAACAATAAATAACCAAAGTACCTATTTCCTTCAAGATCTTCAGATTGATTTCCATGTTGTAATCAGTTAAGGAGTATTTACTGAGCTCCTCCCAAGTGTCATATCCTGTTTGATATCTGTAAATAAATCAGTAGAAACTCAGCTAAGGAGGAGATGGTGGTTAGCATTGCTGCCTGTCTTTCCTTCTCCTTTCTGAATTCCTGTCACACTGGAGCCCAGGAAACAAATTCCTCAGGAAAAGATTTAGCCAGCCACAACTTCTCTGGAGTTTTATTTTCTATGCAAAGAGGCTTACTTGTGGGAGAAATTAGGGCAACAGTATTTGACAAGAGCAGCATATGGTTCCAATGGGGTCTAGGTTTTCTCCATCCCTGGCAAGTGGGGCACACTTAGAAACTAGGGTGGTAAATTCCACATAGAAAGTTTCCCCAATCATGAAAGATTTGAGAGGACCGGTTGGTGAATGGAACCAATAAGAACTGGACAATCTGCCCAAAACCACTCAAACTCAGCCACCCAACAGGACATGTCCTGGGGCTCTCTGTTTGGAGTGACTGAGCCTCCTTGGGAGCGAAGACCAGGGACTGTGTTCTGTCTCCCAGCTTTCCCTAGCTCTGTATGTACTCTTCCTTTAAGGGGACAAAAGGGTAAGCATGCCAAGACTACTAGTGCATTGAATGGTTGAGAAATGTTGGCCACTGAAAGCTCTTTCACTTCCTGCCCGATGCCTCAAAGCAGCTCTCTAATTAAGTTAGCCTTTGCTGTTGCTAACGCCACTGTGTGGCTGCCTCATTCTGCCCAATTTTCATTTTCAGAACTGGGTTATGATAAAGGGACACTTGGTTTCTATTGCTTACAATTATACTTCAAGGCAGTCCAGCTAGGGGCAAGAGTCAGCGATGTCCGGAGGAGGACCGAGTGAGTGGGACAGAACGAGAGGGCCAGCCCCTGGGGACAGAGCCAGCAGGCAGCAGCAATCTTTCACCCTGCTCGGCAAAGGCCTGGCTTTCACGGACTGACCTTGGTCTATGGGAAACTGAGTCCTTAGACCTTCCATCGATGGGGCAGTTAGCAGCCGCCCCAAGAACAAGGATCAACTCATTTGACTTGTGTCTTTGCTCACTAGGCCCTAGGGTCAGCAAATGACTTCCCCCAGTGACAGACACCAAAAGAAGCACCCAGGAGAGCTACGTGTTCTCCAAACACTGCCAGAGTCCTGTGACTGGGAGCTGCTAGGGGCTGAATGATCCTGTTCCTACTAAAACCCGAGTCTTCCTGATTGCTCGTAAGGGTCTAGCTTAAAATACAGACAGCTGCTGTATCTTTCAAGGGAGCTTTTTTGCCAGGTACACGATATATGATGTACACCTGCTCCTTTAATCTTCCCATGACATACTGAGAAAAGGTAGACACAAAGTGGCAGGGGACATGACCCGGGTCAGCTGCCAATATGACTCTACCTGAGGGATATGTGAATATAAGCCTGGGTTCCTGGGTCCCAGCATGCCATTCCAGGGCGTTCTGGCTTCCTGCTGCCTTTCTGTTGAAGAAGACCCCTTGCCAGCTGTGTGGATGCATTTGTTCATCAGTGAACAGTTCGTGAAGGGTCTCCCACACTTGGAGAAGAAGAGGTGAATGACATAGAGTCTCCTCCTCCAGATGAGACCAGGTACTGCCGAGATAGCATGCATGATCTGACTTTATTTGTATCAGAAAGGAGTCCAGGTTCGTATCCCCTCTCTTTGAGCCTCCGGGAGAGATTCAAAATCCTACCTGCCTACCTGTTACAAACCACTCCCTCATCCCACACTATTTGCAAACCTGGCATGCATCATTTGTCTACCTGATGACCTCTGCTCCCTTGCTCCTTGCTAGAAGAATCCTCTTTGGACAAGAGCAGCCATGGACCAAGCCACAAGTGCTGGGCACAGCCTCCCTGGAAGCCAGCAGAAGAACATCACCCAACTTCGACCAAGAAACCAAAGATCTGGGGTTGAGTGTATAGAAAACTTCGTTTTTTGGACAAAATGAGATCGAGTGGGTCTCAGAATGTCTCCCCTTGCTCCCCCATGACCTTCATTCTACTTTTGACTGCTAGGGCTGCAATAGCCATGAACAGGCCTTGAGAATGCACAGGCCGACACTGAAGCAGATCCCCAGACAGAGAGGTTCCTGGTAAACGACATGATGTCTCCTTTTCTCACCCCCACCGTAGCCACGCCCCATACCACCTGTTTTCCTACAGCATCCTACATCCTACATGGTTCCCTGAAGTCAGGAGCCACATCACAGCCCCAAGCACACGTGCGCACTTTGAATGACTAGAGGGCTCACAGAACCGAATCAATTCCAAGGGTTCAGAGTGACAATTTCACAAGGGAAGGAGAGCCTGCAGATTGCAGGTTTGATGTGGCTTCGACAAAAAGCAACTCAAAGCAGTTGAGCCAATCAGGCTCGATCTGTGGCCTGCTCTCCTTGACAGTATCTCTTAAAAGCACAGCTTAACGACTCCACGGACAGTTGTGCTTTCATTGGCTACGCAGAGAAAAAGTGCACGAAATAACTCTCTGCTGAAATGGAGAATTCTTTGGCAGCACCTGAACCAAGCTCATTTGTGCATTTTAAAACAATTTGCACTTGGCCTTGTGCGGTGCCGCGCTTGCCCACATTGCCCCAATGGTGCCAGTGCAGGATTACTGTGCAATGGCACATCCACTCCTTGCCAGAACGGGGCTATCACCCATATGCCCTTCTTCCTGGCCAAGTCACCTAACAGCAACGGCAGTGGTCTCTTGAAAGGGGCCCTGCAAGGTGAGGACTTGAGAGCTTCCAAGGACTTTAGAGTGCAAAAGCAAGAGCCATGGTAAAGGGAAGATGTGAACCACACCAAGTTGGAACTTCAAGGGAACCTACTGACTGTCACCTGATCATTATGTTTTGATGGTGGTAATGATGTTTAGTGACACTGGAGATACTGCTGGTGATGCTGGTGATGGCTGTAACGGTGATGTTGGTGGCGTTATTTTCCTCAAGGTCGTGTGTCTCTTACTGGGAGCAGTGAAATTATTTTTGTAATTGTTTACTTCCTTTCTGCTGATCAAATGGACTTAGGCTGAAGTCCATGGAATCTACTGAAAGTAGATTTGGGCCTGAGAAGACGGTTCGGTGGGTAAAGTGTTTGCCAGACAAATATGAGAACCTATGCTTGAATCCCCAGAACCCACAGGAAGCTAGACATGGTAGCATTCATCTATAATCCCATCACGTCTACATTGAGATGAGGGAAGGAAGTAGGGGGATAGTGGAAGCTTCTGGGCCCCTGAGCATGGCATGCAATGCAACAAACAGTAACAGCCCCTGTCTCATGTGAAGTAGCGGGCAAGGAACAATCGACCCTGGGGTTGTCCTCTGCCCTCCACAGGTTGCACTGTGGCAGACAGCCACACATGAGCCAGAGGAGAAAGTGAATTCAGAGAACACTGAAGACTGTCCAGCAGCCTCTTCCATGTCTTCTGTGAAGAGGGAGAGCAGATGCAGTCCTGTCCACACAGAACCAAGGGACTTTATAACCCTCTCCTGGTTCATGGTGAGCAGGTTGTAAAATATAACCCATAGATTCCTCCGAGGCTTTCACAAGTGCATGCCAAAACCCATCTTGGATGCTTTATCAGATGAGAGACCACACAATCCACACAGACATGCAGGAATGCATGCACACACCAATCCAGGCTGGTTGCTGTACGGGTGCAGTCCTAAACTCTTACCCCACCTCTCATTTAGGATTCTAGGAATGGAATTAGTCACAAATTTATGGATGGGGCAAAGTCTTCAGAGGTAAAGAGGCTATGTAACGGTGATGGGATGCCAGGCCAGACTCGGCTAGATCCACAGTGTAGTCTTCTCTCTTCCTGATGCCCTCTGGACCTATGACTGGTCCAGGAAAGGAGACAGAGGCTAAGATGTGGCCACATCTTCATTCTGGTCCCAGGTGTCAGGCAACGGTGGCCTGGAGGCCCACCTCTGCTCTGTGCCAAAGTCAGCATCACCAGGGCGAGGGACCCAGCTCCTGAGGTCTCTGTGAAGGAGATCTGGAACGACACAGGCTTCATTCTCCATGGCTGAGTCATCTCTGTTAGCTGAATCATTTTGAAATAGTTTCTAGGTCAGACATGATCATTACAGAAAATTCAAGGTAAGCAGATAACTCTGGGAAAGGAAAAGGAAATGGTTTGTAATTGTCTCTTGGCTAGGAAGAACCATTCTTCATGTCTTGGTGTATCCTTATACACATATGCCCACAGGTGTGCACACACACATACACACAGACACGCATATGCTGATGATAGAGACTTGTCCTAAGAAATGCACTTTACAGAATTTTGTCTTTGTGTAAACTCCCCCAGACTCTGCAGGCCTTGGCTGCAAGGCACAGCCTGTTTCTCCTAGGTTGTGCACCCATACAGCATCCTGCCCCACTGGATACTGGAAGCAGTTGGAGTGCAATGTCAAGTATTCATACATGCAGCCAAGTGTGTGATGACACATGCATAAATCATGCTAAGCAGTGGGTTGAACTACAGAGAATGCGACCGTGCTACTGGCTGATGGGTATTTTCCAGCTCCATATTAACCCTATTGACCCAGTGGTCACTAGCCAAAAACTTTATAAGAGAGTGTCTCTCTTTCCCTCCCTTCCCATCTCTTCCCTTCATAAATACATATCCATGCCATATCTACACACTTATTTGTTTTTACAGGTCTCATTAGATTTAATAGTTTAAATCTAACATTATAACATTAACATCTTCCTGTATTATTAGCTACTCTTTAAACTGATTCAGCTTTTTTGTGTGCTTGTGTGCACATGCATAACACACACATGCAGGTATGCAGGTATGTATGGAGGTCAGAGGTCAATATCACACATCTTCCTCTATCAGGGTGCTCACGGTGGATTTCTGTTCACTGATTGGCTAGACTGGCTGTCCATCAAGCTCTAGTGATCCGTCCGTTTCTGACCCCGACTCACACCATGCTAAACTTATTATACATTTATGCTGGGGAGTTCAAATGCAGGTCTTCAAGCTTGCATTCAAGTCTATATTTACCAGGTGAGTGATGTCCCATGCCCCTAAACGAGTTTTAATGGCCTTAAAATAGTCCATATATGTTTATAGCAGAATTTATTGATGATGCCTCTCTTCTAGATATATAAAATGTTCATTCCCTACATATTTAAGGATGGAAATCAGTGCCACAGACCTGGCCTGCTCTTAACACAAATGTCTGGGAGTGAAAGTTATGGACTAGGAACATTTTTAAGCCTCCATCAACACTGTTGTCTTGCTCTTTGGGAAGACATTATGAAGTCATGTTGTCTTTTGTCCCTTGTTAGATGGGACAGAGTTGCTGTAGAGTTCACATAGGAAACAGGGTTTCGGCTGGATCTGAGGTCCAGATGGCCACACCCTTCCCAAGAGAGTCAATATTTGGAACAAAGATGCTGGGGGAGCCTATTTAGTACAGTAGCCAGGAGACAGAGAGGTGACCAGTGGTGTCTTCACTCCTTAGCCTTTGGGGAAGAACAGGCACAGACTTGCTAATTAGAGCAAGGGGCTCTGGGCAGAAGGCCTGCTTCATCACTAGGGTACCGTGACAAGGCCATCATCTGCAGGAAGCCAAGCCCCTTCCCGGTAAGGTGGGAAGGTAGCCCATAGGGTGACATCTGTCACAGAAGTTAGGGTGGACAAGGGCAACTTGTTCGTTTGTCATCAACAGTCTTGAACAAGGAAGCACATGACTTGGTATGGGGGTAATCCAGGCTAGAGACAAGTGGCAACCTCAGGGTTGGGCCATACTGTCCCTTAGATGGCAGTTCAGACCCAAGAGTTTTGAGCTATGGACAACAAGATCCATTTTCCTAGGTTTCTCCAAAGCTTTTAAAGATTTCATTATGTTTTTGTAGATGGGCCTGACATCCATCCAGCCTTACCTGTAACTGGTAGCCATGTGGACAGTGTTTCCCTTACTCATGGGCCTCAGTGGGGGACAAAGGTGAGGCTGCAAAGATATCAGCTGTCAGATCTCAAACTCCCTCCTCACTCACTGCCCCAGATCCCAAACTCTCCTGCATCTGCAGGTAGGAACTGCAGTGTCCCAAACACTGAGCGGGGAGTGTTAGCTCCGTGAGGTTGAGGAAGGGGCCTCAGTTTACACTTCTTAAACATGTCATTGTTAAAAAAAAGATTTGGCCTTGTTACCTGAAATTAGCAAATGAAAATGTATATTGAGTTTTTAAGTGAAATGGAAATACGTAAATCTACTTTTCCATAAGAGAGACAGCATCTCATCAATACGTAGATTTATGATGGTCAGAGAGGAAAACACGGGACTGAAAGAGTGAGTTAGAATTTGGAGAGATGATTCAGTGGATAAAGCACTTTCAACACAAGCCCAGAGATCTGAGTTCGAAACCCCAGAATGCTCATAAAAGATGTCTGCCACAGCCCATCTGTGACTCCAGCAGTCCCACAGAGACACGAGGCAGAGACAGGAGTGTGTCAACTAGCACGTGCAACAGAAAAAATAACAAAGAGACCCTGTCTCAAACAAGCTGGAAGGTGAGGGACTAAATCCTGACCTTGAGATGGGTCACATGACATGGGAGGGGGCGATCTGATCTTTAAAGGGAGTGAATTTAGAAGTACAAATAACCCCAACTCGCGCATCGTCACCTGGCTGAATATTCCTCTTTAAGCTCCTCTCCAGCCACCTATGAGCACACATAGCTACCAGCTATCAAATGCACCATATCCTTGGCACGCTGTTTTAGAATGTGCACGCTCTGTGATGTGGGTAATATTATTTTTCCCATGCAGATGACGTTTTTTTAATTGTGGTAAGAACTCTCGATATGAGATTGTCCGTACTAACAGACATGTAAGCGTTCAAGAAATTACTGTTAACTGTAGGTCCAATGTCTGTAGTTTGTCCATCCTGCTTCAGGGAAACGTCTTGCCCTCTCCCTTCTCTCCCCACTTCCTGGTAAACAGCTACCATTCCACTCTTTGAGTCCATGAATGTGGTTATTTTCCAAACGCTGCAAGTACCTGAAACAATGCAGTTTTTGTTTTCTGTGGCGAGCTCATTTTACTTAGTACAATGTCCCCAAGGCTTACCCATGCTACCATCTGCTGTAGAATTTCCTTCTTCTTGAGGGCTGAATAATATTCCATTGTTTGTAGATGCCACGCCGCCTTTATGCATCATTCTGCCAACGGATGTTTATTTGGGCTGTTTCCACAACTTTCCTATGTGACCATTATGGTTAAATTCATTTAATGAAAGAGTTGATTGACGGCCAAAGAAGTCAAGAAACCCTCAAGTTCATATAATCTAGTCAGACCAGGTCTTTACCAGCTCTCCACCTCACCTCCACGCCCTGTGGACCTCAGCATTTGCAGCCACACCTGTGTGAGAAGCTGCCAGAGTCCCTTTTCTCTGCATGCTTCCCATGCAGCCCGCAGATGCTGCCACATTGGCCTGCAGGCAGTAAATGCAGAGGGAGGCGAGCTAGGCTAAGCCATCTCCTCTAATGGCCTGTTTCTATTCTACATTGTCCTCCTCCAACTGACCACTAAAACTCTCAAGGGGTGGGTCTGTCCTAAATTCTGGTTCCTGCAGGGTGGGCTGTAGCCTGACATCTTTTGTACCTATGGGATCAGGATCCACAGGTCCTCTGCCTTCCTTGGGCTGACAGTGCTCAGTAGGTTGCTTGCTTCCAGGGATGTCCTCACAAGAGAGAATGGAGTCGGTGAGAGAGAAACCACAGCCAATTATGAAGGGTTTTATGGACAGGGGTCCTAGGAGGGAAATCTGGGTCATCCCTGTGGAGCAGGGCTGGAGTTGCCCTGGGAAAGAGGGACACAGGAGAAGGTGCTCTTGTGGAGTGAAGACGGGACAGGAGAAAGAAAGAAGAAACCAGTGGCTGGGCCGGGCGTCTCTGCATCTCTCTGAGGCTGAGTGAGCTGGAGAGGTGTGAGAGTGGTGCCCACCTCGATGGCCCACCCGCAGTTCCTCCTGCCAGGGATACTGAGATGGTAGGAAGCACTTGCACCGACCCAGATGTCCCAACTAGCTGCTGACCTCATGGGGACCCCGTTCAATGAAACTCAGAGTCTGATTTTCACCGCCGCTCTAACACACACAATGAGTACTTGGGTGAGGAACCCTTTGGGATTATTTTTTTCTTTCTAATTGGGACATACACCCAAGAAGGTTGGGGCGGGGGCTGAATGAAGAATCGCTTAGGTGAATGTGACGAGGCGACCTTTGCTGCCCCCTTCCTTAGGAACTTACCAGATCAGCAGGAAGTCCCCTGCACCCAGACCACTTCCCAGCATCAGAAAGAGCAGAACATCCTGTCCCCACCGCTCTGCAAGGTCAAATCAATCAGTGGCATCTCCGTCCCCTTTTCTCATCAGAGGCCAGCATGGTCTCCCTCATCAGCATTCTGTCGGCTGGGCGTTGAGGCTACAGGAACTGAGAAGTAGGTCACCCCGCAGACTGGGAAGGCTGCTGTGTGGTTTCAGCTAACTAGGTTGCTGGAAAGCCCCCCTGCCCACAGTTATCCCCTGAGTCACCACCCCTCCATGAGGCAGCAGACTGCCTCTGTCGGCAGCTAGCTTTGGTAAAGAAAGCTGTGCTGTGTGGGGTTTAGAGAAGGGGTGGATGTTGCCTCTGACACCAAATCCAGCAGTCTCGCCCCCATTCACTGGAGACCTTCTAGTGCCTTCCAGAAACCAGCCTTGGTGGGTGAGCACCCGGGAGCACGGCTGAGGAGGAATTAGCCCCTGTCCAAGAGTCCTGATGCTCTCACAGAGACAAGCACCAGAGCAACGGGAACAAGAAGCAGAGGTAGCCCAATGGCCTGGTAGGCTACCAGTGGCACGGTGGGGGTGTACAGAGGGGCAAGCCTGGGACCAGATGACATCAGGGTAAGAGTCACCCATATCTAGATCCCCAAGTGAAACTGGGGCAAGGGAAGAGGACAACACAATACTGACCCTCTTTGGGCCCTTGTGTTTTGTTTAGGAGCTTGCATTTTTACCCCGAAGATGCTGGGGACAGTCTGGGTATTTCCTGATAGAAACATGATCAGAATTTTTTCAGAAAGATGCCTCTGGGGCTGGGGAGTCTGTTCATTCAGGAAAGCACTTGTAAGACCTGAATTTAATCTTCAGAGCCCACGACAAAGAAAAGCCACGTGTTAACTCACGTTCATAATCCCCACTCTGGGTAGACAGAGGTAGGCAGATCCTTGGGGCTTACTGGTCAACCAAGCTAGCCTACTTGGAGAGTTCCAAGGCAGTGAGAAACCCTCCTTCAAAAAGTGGATAGCATCTGAGAGATGGAGTTCAAGTTTTTTCACTGCTGGGAACAAATATCTGTAAGTGCCAACACACACAAACACAGACATACACATACACACCTCTGAACACAAGGATGCGGGGGCAGCGAGACAAGGAGCCAGAGGAGAGGCTTCAGGGTCACACTGGGGACCCGTTAGGCCTGGGGGAGAGCGACTCAGGACAGAGATTGCTTGGAGGGATACAAACTCACCCAGCAGGTGACAGTGTGAAGGAAGAGGGACGGGCAGAACTTCTGATGTGTCCCTGGGTACGTGACCTGCATCATCTTGCCTAATCTCCATGGTTCCCTGATACGGGAACTGGGCTTGTCCACATTTTAAAACAAAAACAAAGCCTGAGATCCAAAAGGCATCAGAGTGCAGAGCTTGGGATTGTTGTTTGAGGGTACCTACCCCCAGAATCTCTTGTTAACCCCAGTCTGCCACACCCAGTTTCAGGTGTGAACTAGAAGATCTGGGTGGGTGGCATAGATAGACACAGGCAAGGAGGATGTCAGAAAAAAAGTAGACATACCCAGAGAACATTCGTTGCCCTGTAAACTTTTCTGTAATATGTTCTAGAACGTTCCCTCCTTCTGTGCTGTCTAAGATAATATCCAAATACAGTTACTGTTGCCATGGGTGCTTGAACCACTGGGAATTTTCACTTTTATTTTCTTCTCACTATCTTAACCTTGAGCTACTCCATGATGGGGCTGATGGCTAGGATGGTCAAAGGAAGATCAGGCACGAGGCCAACACGAATCGTGCTTGAAGCACAATAAGCTCTGTCTGGGCTACAGCCACATGACCAGTGATTTCTACTTAACAGGTCTAAACCTACATGACTAGCTCTTCTCACCATTTCTTGGGATAGCAAAGACTTACAAAAGTGAGGGAAGGAGCCACCTTCATGTGCAGAAAACCAGAACTGGCCTGGGCAGATGACTCAGTGGGTAAGGTTCTTGCCTCGCAAGCACAAGAATCTGAGTTGGAACCTCGAAACTCACGTAAAAATCTTGCTGGCTCACACTTGTATGCACAGCACTGGGGAGAAACCAAGATGGGAAGAGCCATGGGGCCAGTCAGTCCAGCCAAACCAGAAGCTCTAGATTCGGTGGAAAGCCCTGTCTCCAAAAATCAGGGTGGAGAGCTCCCCAGGGACAGCCTCTGCTCACACCACCACATGGACACGCACACATGCACATGCACATACACACCCAAAGGAAAACGGAGCACAGCACTTGGTTATGAAGCCTGGGTACTTAGCAACCCCCATCTCCCTCCCAAGTCCCCCACAGAGTGGGATGAGCATGCCAGCCTCAGAGTCTGGGACCACGGGTCATAGATGGATTCACAGCCTGTAAGAGATTTCCTTGGGGTGTGTTAGAGTTGGAGGAAAGGGAATCAATGGTTCCTAAAGGTGGATAGATATTTGGGGGACAATGAGAGGATAAAGGGACTCTCGAGAAATTCAAAGGAAAGATCTAGAAAACTAGGAGGAAATTACTTCATTTATTTTTCCCAACCACCACTTCCTTCACGTATTCATTTCAAACCAAAGGAGAAGAAATTCCCTGGTCATCAGGAAGTCCATCAATACTGAGAGCCACCATGGATGACAGTGACCGCCCCAGGCAGTGACCAATCAGGCCCAGACAAGGGCAGAAAGGTGAAGGCATCCCTATGACTCTGGTCCAGGAGAGTCTCAGGGGATGAGAGCAGCTGCTGTCCTGCACACAAGAGAACTCCTCTGGAGTGGACTTCCCCTTTGAGTGACCTCAGTGGGCTCCAAGTGGAGAAAGGTCCCCAGGTTGTTTTGGCAAGTTGGGGGAGTAACCCTGGAAATGCAAACAGGCCTGGGGAGGTAGCTCAGCATGAGAACCTGAATTCAATCCCCAGAATCCATGTATAAAAAGCTAGATGTGGTGGTGCAGGCTCATAACCCCAATATGAGGCTCCCTGGCCAAACAGCCTAGAGCCAAGTTGACACACTCCAAACTGACACTCTCCAAGCCATGAGAGAGATTCTGACTTGAGAAAACAAAAGCAGCAAAGCACCTGCGAGGACTCTTGAGGTTGACCTTTGACTTTCACACAAAACGTATACTCCTGTACATTTATGGGCACGTGTGCATTCATGCACACACACTCAGGTGCGTGCGCGCGCACACACACATACAAAGAAAAGTACACCTAAATGGTTCCCACAAGTTCCTATGGAATCCTAAAAGAGCAAGGTGCCCCATTGTTCTTTCTAATGGAGGATAGCTCAAGATGTGAGCTGGGAGCATGCAGAGGAGTTCCTTCGCCAGCTCCCTTCACCGCCGCCTGCCAGGGGTAAGCACATCTGTAATTACCTTCAGGGTTTATGGCATGCCACGTGTCAGCTGCTAAGCCAAGCCCCTTCTAGTCCAGTCTGCTTCTCAGCTGTGAATTGAGCCTTTTCAGAACAGCCAAAGGAAGTGAAAAAAAAAAAAGTTTCCAAAAAAAAAAAGAAAAGAGAGACTGGGACTCACAGATAAATAGTATCATTGCCCCAAACTCATTGTTTCAAACACAAGATTTTATTTGGAGGGGGAAAAAAGTGTAATTATGTTGGGGTGGATTGTTAAATTCTTTGACTTCAAACTCAATACTTTCTGCAAGATTTCACCTGTGAAATCTGCAGCCTTTAATTACTGCCTTGCGTGTTAAAAAAGAGATGCCTTCTTTCTGAATGGCTAATAACTTTATTAGAAGACGTAATTATAGATCTGACAGTGGTGGTCAAAACCACAGAAGTGCATGGACAGGAACATTCTGGTTTTTGAACCTTGGACGTGGTGCAGTGGGAGACACTTTCTCCTCCAGCATTCATCTGTCTGTCTGTTTGTCTGTGTGAATTTGTTGGGTTTTCTTATCTCCCTCCCACCCCCGCCACAACACCACATCTTTCTAAGGGGTGGAAAGAAAAAACATTTAGAAATCGGTCCATTCCTGGATGGATTTCTTCCCTTCCCAGAAAGTGGTGGGGGGACCACTCTTCTGTAATTGGACAGTTTGATTGGAGGCAGGTGGTGCTGAGCCGAGGCAAGCAGAGCCACAAAGCCAGTTTTGGCTTCAAGCGCTCCTCCCCGGCTCTGAGTTCCAACAGTACAAGACAGAAATTGGCTCCCCCAAACACCAACAATAAATTTAGTCCCCATTTCTCTAACAAGCGCCCTATCAGTGAGGACAGTTCTCAGCAAATTGGACAGCGGGCAGGCACAGAGCTGGCCTGGGATACCCTCACCCCCCACCACCACCCCCTCCCCGTCTTAATTTCCCAAGGCATGTTCTCGCTGCCACGAAACCGGGGCTTATGCATGATGCTGGAAGCAATCACGCGCTATCGTTGGAAAACACAGCGAGATTTCCTTTTTCCGGGTAAACTGGCCTCTGCATTGCTCATGTTGTATTATCTTGAGCTAATGTTTGCTTGCAATGTTTTTAAAAAGCAAGCCAAGTCAGCGTGGCATTGCAGATTACAAACGTCCGTCCCGAGAAGGGGCCAGAAAGAATGGCCGAGGGAGTAAGTAGAAGCTGTATCCTCTTCGTCTCTTGCCTTTAGGTGAAGTCCCTGAGACCTTTATTTCTTTTCTCAAGGGCTAACACATTCACTTTTGCTCAGACCCTACACATTGGTCAACAACAGTATTCCTCTTTTTGTGAAAAAAAAAAAAAAGATGGAGCGCCTGAACCCCAAGAGGGTAATTGCTTTGACCAATGTCAAAAAGCTGCAGAGAAGCCACAGACCCAGGCACTGACTCCAGCTGTTTGTCTGTCAGGTTCCTCTTTGCAGCAAAGACGTACTTTGAAACCACCATTTATAGGGATTTTAGAAGTAAAGGACAGTGGGCCTGTAGCTCAGTTCATAGGATGCTTGCCCAATCGACGTGAAGTCTTGGCCTTGAGACCCAGCCTTGCAGGAACGAGGCACATTGCCACAGGCAGCCCCAGCACTCGGGTGGAGGCAGGGGAATCACAGTCTAAGGTTACCCTCAGCCTCAGCAACATAGTGAGCTGCAGGCATGCATGGGGAAGACAGCATTAACAGCTCTGTGGAGTTGTTGACCTTCATCCACTGTGACAACTCAGTCCCTTCATTCATCTCCCCAATGACAGGTACAACTTGCCAGACCCCCTTATAGGAAGAGACGGAAGCCCAAACAGGGATGGGCCAATGGCAGTGGAACAACACCTGGGTAGGACTGCTTAGCTACATTGTCCCTTACCTTCTATTCGAGCTTTATCCTCATTGGAGGATCTGAAAGATGGACTTGGTGAAGCAGAAGCCATTGGTCTCTCTGTCCCTCTTCTCAATTTGGCCACAATGAATAGGTCTTCTTCTACTTTCTAATAATTATAACATATAATATATTATAATAAACATTATTATTATCAATTCATCCCATATTTGACATGCTCTCTTATTCAGTTCATCCATGCTCAGATTTTTCTAAACACACTCTAGATTAGTTTTGAGCTTCTCATTCATTTGCAGCACTTGAAAATAACCTTCTCTGATCTCAAACGGATGCAGGCAGAAACAATCATGTACCTCCCCTCAGTGTGTCTCTTAACAGTTGGATAACTGTATCAAATTATTCTGGGAAAACCAGTTAGAGAGTTTGTTCAGAGCCTCTGAATTGCAACACTCTTGTTTGCCCTTCCCAACCTGTGGCTCACAATCTTGACCTCGCTCGTTGGGGGGGGGGGTGGTCTCAGAGACTGAGACTCTGGGGAAGATGCCGGGTAGTGACTGGCCAGGCAATAGTCTTCTCCAAATCTTCAAATCTCACTGGCAGGCAATAGTCCCTGGAGGCTGGCTAACTAGTGTGGGGCATCAAAGACGAGTTTCTCCTGGAAGAACTCCTCTACCCTAAATGAACAACTTCGTGGGGCTGCCACCCCAGTGACTGATGGTGACAGGCAAGCCCCGAGGAGGGGTCTAGCAGGACCAGGGACACTTTCTCACTGACTACACCTGTCTGAAGCAGACTGCATTGGCACAAGGACTGCTGGCTGGGAGATAACTCAGAAATCTTGGCAATACTACAGGACCAATATTTTTACAGAGGTGACACCATTTTAAACAATGTCCCCAGTGTGCAGGCTACAAGCGGCCCTCTATCCACAGCCAGGAAGGGTGACTGTCCTTCCCACCTCTTCTGGGCAAGAAGGCTCAGGGGAGGGGGGCCAGGAAATAGAGGTAGAGAGTGACCATGTTAGAGACACAGAAATGGGAAAGCCATTTCGGGGCTCTCCTGTAATGAAACCACCTCTGTCAACCTGCCCCAAAGCTGGATTCCCAACGCAGAAACAGACGGAAGTGATGCCATCTCAGCGCCAGACAGTCTTCTCTATTTGTTTTTCTGAGCCTGTGTGGAAACAGCCGGGCACAAAGGCCACAGCCCTCTTCAGTTCCTCCTCCTGCGTCCTGCTGTCCCGGCACCTCACAGACAGGTGGACATGGCCCGTAGGACAAGGCCTCCTCCCACTCTGGCCTGAGCTCTTTTTCTGGAGAATCGCCACCTGTCCCTCACTCTGTCAACAGCAACCTCCCGTTTCCTAGAATTATTATTCCTTCCCAAAGCCTGTATCATTTCCCAGCAGAAAAGAAAAGAAAAGAACCCCAGCACCTGCCAAGCCAATCCACAGGGTTGTCTACGCTGGGCGGCCCAGCTGGGGCAAGATGGAAGTGTCCCACACCCTCCTGATATGCAAACCCCAGGTGGGCAGAGAGTTGGAAAGTGGCCCAGGCTGTATCGCAGGGTCCTCGGCTGAAGCTGAAGGCCACGCACGACATGCACGAGACATGCCCAGGGGACAGTGTTATCGGGACATCCATCCACTGAATTTGTTTGCTGAGCCATGAATGGGGTGATCAGCACAACAGACATGAACTCCGATCGTTCTGGAGGCTGGGGTCGGTAATCAAGGTGTGCCGTGAGTTCTCCCTGGAGACATGCTGGGGACCCTCATCCACCTCACCATAAGATTAACCTGACTTTTTTTCTTCTCCAGTGAGGTACTATGAGCCATAGTTTGACAAATTGTCTGACGTACCTTCTCTTTCCACAGGTAGTTAACATATGTTCTAGAATAGATGTTATTCTTCCAGCAGGTCCCAGATCTTCCTTCGCCAGCAGTGTGCCAAGTTGGTTAATACCCTGACGTTGATGATCTCGCCAGTAAGATGGTGTGCTATGTTGGCCAATTCTCCTGAGACTAAGCCAGCGCCTGTTGCGCGGTTAGCACTCGGGGTGCTATAGTTCTTGATAACCTCTGTGCATATACATTTTTGCAAAGCATCAGATGTAGGTCCAAAACCACAGGAGAAGTCAAAACCAACTGTGTCCCCATGACAGAGAGTAGGGATCCCAACCAGGCACTCCCTCTCATTATTCTTGATGGCGGAGTCCTCGGGTGAGATCACACACTTACTTGGGAAAGCAATGTGTCTGTCACATGTGTCAGACACGGTGGGGAAAGGATGCATTTGAGCAGCAAGGCAGCTGCTTTCTAGAGATTAAACCATGCCAACTTTCTCAGCACAACCACCGGAAGCCTGGATGTCCTTGAGGTCTATAAGCTGGAATAGAGGTCGCCCTGAAGCCTCAGACTGGCTTCAGCCTCAAAGAGGGCAGCTTGGTGCTGCAGGACCTGCCCTGGGACCAGGCAGCATCCTGCTTCCCTCGGCCCTCCTCTCCTTCTCTCCTCTTCTTCTCCTCTCCTCCTCTCCTCCTCTCCTCCTAGAACCTGCCTGCCTCCGCACAGTAGCCTCAGGAGCCAGATCCTGTCTCCTCCACTTTCAGCCCTGTGCAAAGGTGCTCCAAAGGACAGCCACACTGCTGCCTTCGCCCCTCAGGTCCCTGGGAGGAAATCTGTGTGTTTCCTACCGCCCGTCAGCTACCGTCCACCCACCACCCAACTGCACTGCCATGGCACCGATGTTAGTGCACCCCTATGCATGGATGCCCTGAGAACTGAGAACACACAGAATATATGTTCTTAGCAAAAAACAGAAGTTGGGGAAATTAACCAAACTATCGAGACAAGAAGGGCAAGGAGGGAAGGAAGCAGGTGAGAATGAAGCTCCCTGGTGATACAGCAGCCCTAACCCTTCGGCCTCTGGATGCCTCACCACCCACACCTAGATCAGCCCTTAGGATTCTTTGTTTTCCCCTGCAAATATCGGTTGGGATGGTTTGGACTGCGGTATGTCTGTTAGAGACTTGGCCTTACTATGGACCGTAAGCTGGCCTCAGCCTCCCAAACGCCAGGAGAAAAGGCCTGGACACCTAGGCCCGGTTCCTGAGTTCTCCTCGGCTCTCTCATTTGGCAATGTGTGGTAGGCCATGAGCACCGAAGCAATGCAGCCTTGTGGTCAGGCTGGAGCACAGGCTTAGGATGGAGTCATTGGAACCGCAGCTCTAGAGGGGCCAAGGCTTCAGTTTTACTGGGTTGAGGAGGTGGGCAGAGCAGCCTGTGGGTGCTGCGTACCTGTGTTCCTGGGTGTCACACACCTATCCCAGGTACCAGACACCTGTGTCCCTGGGCAATGCATGCCTCTGTTCCCAAATCTCACACACCTGTCCCAGAAACCGCACACCTGTGTCCCTTAGTGTTGCACACCTGTATTCCTGAGTCCCACACATCTGCCCCACATGTTTTGTGTGTGTGTGTGTGTGTGTGTGTGTGTGTGTGTGTGTGTGTGTCCCTGAAGCACTGCAGTACTGTGGGCTTGGCGTTGGCCTGCCAGTCAATCCCTTGATGAGCGAATACAGACACACTCTCTGTGAAGCCCCGTTGCCAACCCCACCAATTCGACTCTTACCAAAATTCTAGACGCTATGGCCATCTTACCCATTTTCATCTGAGGAAAGAGAGGCCCGTGGAAATTAAGTCACTCGCCCAAGATCACTGATGAGGGAGGTGGCAAAGCCAGTTCCAGGCCAGGCCTTGGTTATATAGGCATCACATTCTGCCTGCCGGAGCCACTTACCCTCCTGGCAGAAGAGGTCACCGCATGCCTGGGAGAAATGTCTATAGTCATGCTGCACCGAAGCATTCGAAGTGACTACATCCTACCCTTGGACAAATTAAGTACCTTCTGGGAAGCCACCCAAGGGAAACAGCCCAGAATAGGAGAAAAGCCACTTTGCGTGAAGATGTCCATTGCTTTATTGTTTATTGAGCATACAGGACATCCTGAAGTCCTGGGAGACCTATAAATCTCCGTACGCAGACAGACAGTTCAGCTCGTAAGGATTTAGCTATGTGCTCACTTGAAGGATGTTAGGCAAAGGGAGTGAGAACGTGGAGCAGAATATGAGGATTCTACAAGGGGACAGGCGCACACAATGCCTGGGTGTTCTGTTTTCTCCTACCCGTCCCCCATGGAGGCAGCTGCATGGGGACTGGACGGGTCATCAGGAAGAAAATGGATAATGAGAACAACCAAGGTTTTGTCTGCTGAGCCCACAATCACCGGATAATTACAACTGCTCAGGAAAACTGATGCATAGGGGAAACAGAACAAAACAGAAGGCATTGGTAAGTACCAGAAGCCAGCTGCCGGAGGAGGTCGAGATAACTCACTGCCTTCCTCCTGGTCTCAAACCTTTTGCATTTTGAGTTTTTCAGTGATGAGCGTTGTAAGGTTGGTTTGGTTTGTTAATAAAACACATACTTCGGTTTCTGGAGACAGCGTTCCTCTCTGGCTTCCCATCAGTTCCATGCATCCATGGTTCTGAAGAACATTCTATGTCAGTCTGTTGGAACCTCTTAAAGTCTCTATCACACAGCCCGGGACCTGCAGGCCATAAAAATACGTAAATATCCCTGTAACAGAGGCACCATGGTTATATAAGATCTCAGATCCAGAAACAGACATGACTGTGGACCCCAGCTCAGCTCCTTTCTGGCTGGGTGACCCTAGGGCACACCAGTCCCTAAGCCCTATACACATGCCACAGACAGTAGATACCCAATCACTGACGGTAATTGTGCAGCTAGATACTGAACCTTTGTTACTTGGAGCAGCTGTGAAGTTTTTTGTCACCTTCTCTACTTCCGTTCAGCAAGTGTCACCAAGTCCGTCCCCCATCCTGTAAGAGCAGCTCTGCACATCTGATGGATGATAGGATGCTGCGGAAGAGCTTATCGAGAGACAACATATCAACCGCTGCGTCTCTCCCAGAGGACGACCCAGGAGAGGGCTTCACCGGCAGGACCCGGAAGGGAAGATGCCGTGATGGGAGAGCCCTGGCTGATGCTCTCAGCTCGGGGAGCCAGTGCCGCGCCTGGCCGGGCTGAACATCCTGGGGAAGACAGGCATGCTCTATCCTGCTTCCAGTTTGCTTTCAAAGAGAAAGCCAGGAGTGAACAACGCAAGTAGGGAGGACGCTATCAAATGGTTGCGGTTACGTGTGCAATTCCCCCTGACCCTCACAATGATTGTCACATGCTAGGTGGTGGCTGCAATTAACTGTCATGAATGGTACCTCAGACAGTGACATCTGAAGCCCCAACTCACAGCTGCCAGAGCAATGGAGGAGATTTTGCCTCATGTTAGATGCATCAGAATGTGAAGAGAGTCTGGTCCTTGTGTATCCCCCAAATGAGACTGACCTCTTGGACAAATAACAAAAAGCTAGGGAACTAGCCCCAGATCCTCCTGGGGCAGGGGCCTTGTGCTTCTCCAGCCTCATGTCCATCTGGCCTAGATGACCCTCACGATCCCACCATCGCGTGTCAGACTGGGGATGACGCTCATTCCCACTCTGTCCTGCCAGCTTTTTCCCTGCCCCTCCAGCACACCTGATAAGCTACAGCACCTTCCATCCTGCCGAGTTTACCTGCCCATCAGACAGAACCTGCCAGAATAGGCAGAAATGAAAAGCCGCTGCCTCCAGAAGGCAGGCGAGAGGAGAGTGTGGTTGTGAGGACAAAAAGGACCAGGGTGTATCTCTCAAGTGGGCAAAAGTCAACTCCAAGATCCAACATCGTCTGTTTGGCTTATAGCCAACTGTGAGCTACGGGGAGACCACAAGACCTCATTGGCCAACAGCAGGGGCTGTGCTCACCAGTGATTCGTGTTGGTAGAATCCCCATGATGGAATTATCTCATCTCTATTAGTCTGCTGGGACTTCCATAATGAAGACCTACGTCAGAGGTTTACGCAACTGGTAAATCCAAAAGCAAGCTTCCTCCCAGAGCCTCTCTCCGTGACTGTCCCCCTTTCCTCGTGAGCTTACACCTTCCCGTGTGCCTCTATCCTAATCTCTTCACAGTGGGACCACAATCAGACCCAGTGAGGGCAACCCCAATGACCTCATTTCGACAGAGTTTCTTTAAGGCCCTAGTAGGTCTTGTACATCTAAACGCAGTCACATTCTAGGGTTAGAACCCCAGCCTGCAGTTTGAAGGGGAGGACACTGCTCAGGTTCCTTAAATGACCAAGGGAAACCAAAGGTCAGGGACCTCTCCTGGGTTTTAGATAGCTTGGTGTCAGAAGCAACAGTAGGGCACTAAGTTGCTGACCCACAGCCTCTGCCTCTCCTATGACCTTGGAAACCGCACATAGTTCTCAGCAACACGTGAGCACTGTTCTTCCTGGGGAAAGCAAGGCTGGCTGCCGTGCAGGAGAGCATTGCATTTAAAGCAAGCAGTTCTAGGCGTGGCACGTTGGCCATCTCTGTGGCTTCTGGCAGCTTGTTTTAAGTTCTCAGAGCCCAACTCTTAGCATCTGTGAAGTAGAAGAGATAATCCCAAACTCACGAAGTGTCACCTTGGATATCCATACTGGGATGTACCAAGGATTAAGGTCGGGACGGCAGGACCCATCACATAAATCAGTAACAAGAACCCAACCGACCTGGACCCCAGATGAACCACACTTGCCGCGAGCTGTGGAAGCTTACTGTATCATGGTACAGCAACTTCCCCTTGTGTGCCCTCATCACTCTCCCGGATGTCAGAGAGGTGATGGCTCACTCTAGTCTGGGTCAGTGAGGTAGAGAAGGAAGAACATGGTCTAGGGGACACTGGGACAGGAGTAGGACCTCTGCATTCTAACCAGTGGCTGGGGACAAGCGCTGTAACTATCCCGATCATGAGCTCCGTGGTTGACAATGGATGATCCTATGGTAACTATCACCACAGTGAAACTGCTGAGTTCAGTACGAGACGGGCATCGAGCTGGCTAGAGCGAGTGTCGACCAAGTGTTAGGTGAAACCTAGGGAGCAGGTCTGTCCAAGCGTGAGCCTGTAGCTCATGTGTGTCTCACAGTGTCCCCTGTCTGTCCTATCAGGTGAGATACCCAGGCCAGGCCTTCTCAGCTTTGGCAGATGCTCCTTCAGTGTACACTTAGGATATGTATCATGGCCACAGCATCCTGGACACGCCCATTGTCCTCTGAGAGGGCACTCAGCATTCTATAGGCGATGAGCAAGTGTGCCTGGTTAGTCCCTTGTCTCGGCCAACACCTCGTCTCGTTTAATACTCGACAGGCAGAAGTGAAGCGAACTGGTTTGATATCTTTGCCCCTTATCTTCTGAGTCCAGATCTGGGTCGCTTTTGATAGCAAGCAGAAACTCTTGCTTTTCCCTTGCGTGATATACGGTGGCCTGCACTACCGGGAGCTGCAATGGCCTTCTAGGCCCTCAGAGAGCTCGCCACTGGCACTGACCTTCAGGTGACGTGGTGACTGCTTGGCTGGCTGGTCTGCCCCGTTTCCTTAGATGCTGACATTCTACCACAGTGCTCACTCCCTGCTCTTACGCTAAGTGAAGGGAGGGGAGAAGAGATGGATGAAGGTGCTGTGCTTTGAAATATGCAGAGAGGTATATAAGACACATCACAGTGTGACTTACGTGATAATGGGGAAATAGGAATAACAGAAAATATTGATACCTTGATATCTTATTCTTTAAAAATTATTACAGGCCAGGCATGGGTGCACACCTTTAATCCCAGCACTCAAGAGGCAAAGACAGGTAGATCCCTATGTGTTCAAGGCCATCCTGGTCCACAGAGTGAGTTCCAGGAGAGCCAGGGCTATGTAGAGAGACCCTGTCTCGAAAACAAAACTTCTTACGTTGACTTATAATGTATGTTGGAGAAAAGTTCATGCACATGGCACAGTGAGAGGAAGACAGGGCAGAGGACAACCTATGGAATCAGCTCTGTCTGTCTACCGACCACACAGCCAGAGTGACTGAACTCAGGTCAAAAGGCTTAGGGGTCTTCTTGTGAGAACCCATTAATTCTTTTATCTACAAACAGCCAAAATAAAATCTAGCTGCCCCCAACGTTTTCATCACCCTTTCCTACTGGGGATGAGGAGTTACCAGGGTAGGATCGTGCCCCGGATGGCGGGAGCTGGCTGCAGGCCTTCCTGGCTGGCATTCTACAGTGTAAGCCAGGCTAGGTGAGCTGTAGTCCTCTCCCGGCCCTGTAACATGCAAGGCACACAATGTATATGTGGCCTTTTCCTCGCTGTGGAAAGTCTTTGACCACATGGATTTGAGCTCAAATGGGTGCTATCCCCTGCTTCATTCGCTTCCTCTTGGGATGCTGGGATCTCAGAGCATCCTACACAATGCCAGCTCTGCCCCAGCCTACGGAAACTCAGCAACTTGGCTCCATCGGGGTGTGCTCCAAAGTTCAACACTTACATTTCAGGGACTAAATTCAGTAATAACACCACAATTTCACCCAAAAGCATTATAGTGATTATTGAGTTATATCAGGAGCTTGTTTAAGATAACATCTTATTTGTACAATGCAGCTCAAATAGCTAGTTAGTACAGCCCGTGCAATTGTTAGACTCCTTCTGTGCATTAGCATAACCGCCGCCCTGGAAGCGCCTTGATGCTTTTTAAACATGCGAGCAGCTAAAACCGAAAGCATAAATACATGTCTTCTAAGGTGGTGGCGGAAAAAGAATGAGAGGGTTTAGGTTTTCATGTAAACAGGAATTTACTTGTCTCTGGCGTAGTACAGTGGGATGTGGAAATCCCTCAAAGTTGGTTCCCTTAAGGAAGTTAGAGCTGCTACCTGAGTCACTAACTTTCTGTTTCTCTGGGAGCTGTGCACCTTCGCCATGCTATGCACCTGACCTACATGTCTCTGTGCGTGAGAGGACCTAGTGGACCCTGAAGAAAGAACTTGTCTGGGGTCGCATGGCTTGTAACAATTCACATTTGCAAAACTCCAAGGTCAGATGTAATCACCAGTGTGGAGGAGGAGATTCCACGGCATTCCAAGCAAGCTTCAAACCAGGAGGGCAATCGGGGTCAGCGCTCCAAGAGAATCGCTCTCTACGGGACAGACGGGAGAGTCTCCTGCCAAGGGACATGCACTGTCCCTTCCTGGGCTTTGTGTCCACACCTCCCTGCCTCCCTCTTCTGGTGACTGACAGGGTTCTCAGCACTAGTGGGACATGGAGGAGTCTCCTAATATCAGCAGTCTTCAACTCACCATCACCCACAAGACTCCTGTTCTGCAAATCCAGGCCGCCCTTCACTGCTAACAGCCATCCTTGCCTCCCGACCCGGCAGCTGGCTTTCTATGGTGGAATTTTCATCCTTGCCAAGCAATGTGGCTCTCTCCATGAGCAAATGCTCAATCCGAGAGACCTGAGCCATTCTGGAGGAGCACCCTATCCAGATCTCAGGGGCGAGCATCCAAACCTTCCAGGCCACACAGCTGGTCACACCAGTGTGAACTATCTCAGTGCCAAGGCTTAGTTGAACCTCCTCCCAATAACAGCTGCTTCCTCCTCATCCCTGGACTTGGGAGATATGCT